CTGTGCCACCAGGCTAATTTTTTGTAATTTTTGTATATATATTTATAGTTGTCCAGATAATTTCTTTCTATTTTTAGTAGAGACGGGGTCTCGCTCTTGCTCAGGCTGGTCTCGAGCTCCTGAGCTCAAGCAATCCTCCCACCTCAGCCTCCCAGAGTGCTAGGATTACAGGCATGAGCCACCACAGTTGGCCATCAAATCTCAAATTTTTGACTCTGAAAAATACAAATGTTGAAATTATTGAAATTATTGAATATTAGATTTGCCTTTCTAAAAGTCATAGACTAGACTCTATATATGAGACTGCTTGCCATTTGTACTTAATTACTGTACAATACAATAGCAGTTACATCCATGATGATATTTGTCAGATTAACTGTATTATGAGTTTTATTGAAACAGCGGGCTTCATTCCTTTATAATGTTTTCTTAGTCTGTTATTCATAAAGCTTGCTTAGCTATCCATGCGGTGGGATATAAGATGCTTTTAAACTAAAAAAAGTAATAATGATGGGGAATTTGGTTCCAGAGATATCACGTCATTACTTACTTTTAGGAAGCACTCTGAATCACAGGTAGGGCTGCTGCCGGCAGAGCATGTCCATTCTATCTACTCTCTGTGACAGGAGAAGTGGGTTAAATATAATATAGATTTAGAAACTGAGTAACAATTATAGTCTGATTATCAGTATGTTATCAAAGTCGTAACAAAAAGTGGACTGCCTTGGATAGATGTTTAACTATCACACAGTAGTGCGTCTTTTTCCCTTATCCACCTAGTCCCGCTATTTAAAGGTGTCTCTTAAAATCCACACATGGAACAAACCAGCTAAGGTAGACTCGCAAAGATGCATTTTCATCTTTACCAGTGGTCAGGGCCAGCTACATAGTCTGTGGGGCCCAGTGTAAAATGAAAATGTGGACACTCTTGTTCAGAAATTATTAAGAATTATAAGATGACAACAGCAGAGCATGAAACCAAGATTTGGACCCTTTTAAGTCCAGGGCTATGCCTGACAGCATAGGTCATCCACCTATGAAGCTGTCCCTGCAGTGGTCCCTCTACTGCCACCCCAGACTATGATGAACTTTAGACGGACTGTGACACAGTGACCCAGCCTCAATTCTGAAGTTCAGTTGTCATTCCTCATTACTAACCCAAATTAAAACATTCCTAGTTTCCTAGTTGGCTCAGTTGATACAAACTGTGCTCACACACACACACACACACACACACACACACACATCAGATATACATGTATATGCATATATGGAATTTGTATCTATGTATACATTCCTGACATGCGTGTGTGTATATATATGACACTGATAGATGAGTATATTTCCAGAACCAAAATTAGTAGCATTATCTGTTTAATGCAAAGCCTAGTTTGGCTTAGTTATAGTGTCTCCATCCCCAATTCTGTTTCTCTAAGTGATCTTTAAAATTAAAGTCCAGGTCGAAAATTCAATTTAGGTAGTAACCATCTCTCTATTGCCATCTGAAACCTGAGTAGTGTATATGATTTCTCTTTAACTTTCCTTACCCTAGAGCATAAATTCAAATGGTTTTAAGTTATAGCTACATGGCCATATCTCCCAGCTGTCCTGAGAAAGTTCTAGTCTACCCCTTTTATCTCATTCAAGAGCATCCTGGTTTGGGTGATACTTTAGATCACCTTTATATAAACCAAATGTATCAGAATATATCTGTTTTTTAAAAAAAATTAATAAAGTGCTCTAAAAATAATAATAAAATGAACTGTATTCATAACAGTGTAACTAACTACTCTCAGTAATAGCATCTATTTGTTTTTCATGTGCATACATATGTTACTGATAGGAACAAAAGCTATTTAAAATAGAACATGCTTTTCCAAAGTGTTTAGCTTTTTTGCTTTTAAACAAAAGTGCAATGCCTGCACATTAAATAAAATTGGGAAAATTGAGACAATAAAAATACAACCTGGCCAGGCCCATGCCTATAATTCCAACAATTTGGAAGGCTGAGACAGGAGGATTGCTTGAACCCAGGAGTTCAAGATTACAGTAAGCTATGATTACCCCACTTCACTCCAGCCTGGGCAACAGAGTGAGACTCTGTCTCTAAAAAAAAATAAAATTAAAATTAAAATACAACCCATAAACCCAATAATTAAATATAAGCACTATTAGTATTTTGATGTATTATTGTTTCTATATAGGTGTCTTTTTTTACGGGTAGATTTTTTAAAACATAGTAAAAATAGGATATAAATTTTTTTCCTACATTTTTCCATACAGCATTATATCATAAATTTTTTCCCACATTATTATTTAATCTTAATAACTAGTGTTTTAAGGAGTTTCCCTTATCTTATAGATTTGGAATAGAAGCGTTTAAAGAAATAATCACCTGCTTCAGCAAGTGTATCTGTTGCAGTGGAGAGATCTTGTGAGGATGTCAGAGAAAAACCATACCAGATTGTAGTATCAGTCCTCACAGCAACTGGCTGAGGCATCGAGCAAGCTTTTTAACCTTCAGAGCTCCAGTTTTCATCTCTGTAATAAGTAAGACTAAAAACAATAATGAGAAAAGTAAATAGCAGTAATACAGTAGTAATATGAATAATAATAATATTAGCCATTATTTGTTAAGTCCGTGGCAAACTTGTAGTTTGCCAAAATTATCATTTATTGTGCTAAACATTTACAAAAAATACAGAACAGCCAACACAATCTTGCAGAGGAACCATAAAGCTGGAAATCGTTTTTTTTTTCTTCGCTCAAGCTAAGAGTGAAGGAAGTCTTAAACTAATATATATCAATGTTTATTTTTAATCTGTAGTAATTTAGATGGCATAGCACAGGTGCAGTGATAGACAAACTGAACCGCAGGAGAGCATACAGAATACAAAACAGGCACAAAATACGGTCACCTGATTTATGATAAAGACAGCTCTACAGTGCAATGGGGAAGGATGGACTTTTCCAAATATGCTGCTGTGACACTTGGTTAACTATACGGGGAAAATGTACATTGACTCGTATTTGACATCACACACAAAAATTAATTCCAGATGAATTATAGAACTAAATATGAAAGGCAGCATGATAAAGATTGAAGGTAAAACATAGCAAAACATCTGTGTGACATTGGAGTAAAGATTTCTTAAACAGTACACAAAAAGCATAAATTATAAAAGAGAAAAATTGATAAATTGGACTTCATTAAAATTTTTAAATTCTGTTCATCAAAAGAGACCATTAAGAGAGTGAAAAGACAACTATTTAAAGAGAAAAAATTAATGGTAATACATAGCACCTGACAGAGTACCTGTATCTGGAATATATAAAGAACTCATGAAAATTGACAAGAAAAAGACAGTTCCAATACATGAATGAGAAAAAACTTGAACCATTCACAAAAGAGAATATCCAAATTGTCTCTAGCTATTTGAAAAGTTGTTCAGTTTTATTAGTCATCAGGAAAATGCAAATAAAAGTACAATATGATAGTACTTACCTACCAAAGATAGAAAGTACCAAGTGCTGGTGAGAATATAGAGCAACCATGACTCTACTATACTGGAGGGGCTTTATAAGTTGGAACAACCACTTTGAAAAACTATTTGGCAGAATCAAATAAAATGGAGCATATATAGACCTATGACTCAGCAAGTCCTCTCCTAGGTATACAACTAATAGAACTGTGTACATATGTTCACCAAATAAACATGTATAGCAGCCTATGCATAATAGGAAAAGGAACCCTGAAAACTATCCAAATGTCAATCAGGAATAGAATGGATAAATTGTGGCATATTCACACAATGAAATACTGTGCAGCAATAAAACTGAATGATCTGCAATTATATACAACAAAATGGATAAATCTCAAAAACTTAATGTTGAACATAAATACCCACACACAGAAGAATATATACTGCATGATCTCTTTTATATAAAGTGCAAAAAAAAGATCAGGATAGTAGTTACCCTTGGTGTCAGTGAGTGGTAAGGGTAACTGGAAAAAAGCATGAGGAAGGAAGGAAGGATTCTGGGTGCCGGTAATGATGATTTTCTTGATCTGGGATCTATGATGTGGTCGTATTCAGTTTGTGAAAATGCGTTATACTGGCCAGACACGGTGTCTCACGCCTATAACCCTAGCACTCTTGGAGGCCGAGGTTGGAGGATCGCTTGAGGTCAGGAGTTCAAGACCAGCCTGAGCAAGAGCGAGACCCCATCTCTACT